CTGACTGGGCATTGACTGTAGCTCCGCTAATAGCACATCCCTGATATCCAGACTGGACTCCGGGTCCCTGAGGAACTAGCTGGGAGGGAGCACATTCCATAATTCTATCGGACAGCTCGTTGGTCAAGACAGCCTCAAAACTGTAGCTGATGGGGTTGATCCAGTACAACCAGCCGAACCAAATATAATCCTTCAACAACTGAGTTTTGGGGATGACATATCCGGTGTAGATGATGAGCAGGTTGAGAGAGATCCCCGAAAATCGCACAGCTGTGTCAATCTCTGGGGATAAACTGGCAAACATGCGATACAGGGCTGTGACCATGATGGTTGTGGTATAAACGAAGAGCATGTAGATCCAGAACTTTGATACATCCACATCAAGCCCAGTCATGAAGTACATGATAAGACCAAAGATGCACACCTGGACAGCGATAACAGGGAAGTCGAGCAGAACGCGAGCAAGGGAAACAGCAGAAGGACGATAGAAAGCATAGTCGTGGTGTCGGGCAACGACGGCACGCCCCGACACAGCCTTCATGAGCTCAGAAAGCTGAAGCCAGCCCAAGAAGAGAATCGAGAAGAAGATGGTACCGCCACGACTGAAAGCACTTGCAGTATCCTCAGTCTGCCCGTAGAAGAGAGATCCAACAATGAAACCGTTGGAGATGATGATGAAGAGCTTTGTCCAGAGTGTTGTGGTATCGCCGAACAGGAGCCAAGCTTCTCGCTTGGTGCAAGCAAGCACTTGCCGAGGGAATGAGATGGTGTAAGGTGACTTGTCGGAGACGTGCTTTGACTTCGACTCCTGGACAGCCCCCTGGAACCTCTTGGCGTCTTGGTAGTCAGACTGGTGAAGAGACTCCTTATATGCAGCAACATCAGCCAGGAGCTCTTGATAATGTGGTGAGTTCCTGAAAGCCGACTCAAGCTCTTCTGGTGTTCGGGGAGCGCGGTGTTCAAACCCGGGTCGGAAGCGTCGTTCGGTCGGATCGGTGACGGCAGTCAAGAAGTCTGCTGTCGTCTGTCGTTCGGGACATTCGAATCCAAGATCAATGAAATACTGCTTTGCCTTGTTGGCAGGTCCGGAGAAGATCTGTCGGCCTTGATCGATGACCAGAACCTTATCCATCAACTCGTAAATTCCCTCTCCCGCCTGGTACAAGGTTACGAGGGTGGTTCGGTTGCTAATATCTGTCATGATACGCAGAGATCGTGCGTAGTCGAGGGCGGTCGATGCGTCTAATCCTCGAGTAGAGTTATCCCATGCCATAACGGTAGACTTGGAGGCCAGTGTTTCCGCAATTGAAACTCGCTTTCGTTCACCGCCGGAGACACCTCGAGTGAAGTCATCACCAACCACAGTATCTCTTGTATGACTGATACCAAACATTTTCATGAGAGCATCCACGATAACCGGAATATCGGCCTTCTCCTTGATTTTGGTCTTGTTGGTAAGCGCAAAAGCGAGAGTCTTCCACACGCTCAGAGTAGCAAAGTGAACATCGTCTTCGCCGTTGTAGTTGACCTCGCCCCTGTAGTGCTTTTTCTGCTCAGCAGCAGAGATACCGCTGTACGAAACTTCTCCTTCAACGGCGGCATATGATTCGCGATTGTTACTAATAGCTTTGAGGAACGTACTGCACCCAGCGCCAGGTCGCCCCAGGACGAGCATCATCTCGCCATCACGAACGCACCCGGTGAAGTCGTTGATGAGTGTTCGGGTTGGGGGCTTTCCAATCCGGAGAGAAGGAAAGTATCTGGTGAGGACATTGTAGAGATCGGGACCGAATGTACCAAGGATAGCATCGGGTACGGTTCGAACAAAAGTTGCTGTGCTTCCGACGCCTTTGACAGTGAGGTTCTCATACACAACACCAACTCTCTTCAAGGATCCCTCCTCCTCGGAGCGCTTTTCGAAATGGCCTTCTCGCATGAAGCGGCCGAGTTCGAAACCCTCACTCTCTTCAGGGCCAGCTTCCACATCGGTCTTGGAACCATCATCGTCGTCATGTTTCTCTGACCGAACTCGAGCAGCAGTACTCGTCCGTCTACTCTGAGCTTTGCTTGCGTGTGTGTCTGTCGTTCTTGTCTTGTGTAGGCTCATCAAGTTGTGACGTAGAGACTCGAATTCTTGCATGGCCTCTTGAGCAGTGACATCTTCCTGTCCACGCTCACCCCATTTTCCTTCTTGGACGACACCTGATTCGGAGGAGCTGCTGCTTGTAGGATTATGTTGTCCACCTTCAACAGTTTGTTGAGAAATGGGTTGTTGTTGCTGTTGCCACATAGAAGATTGTGTGCGGCGAAGAGCATCGCCGTCTACTGTGTTTCCCAACATGTTGACGGCGATTGTACGAGATTAAAAAGATTAAGAAAAGCTGGGTAGGTTGTGGTTATTAGGGAAGAGACTATGACGTGCAGCCGGTGAGCGGCACCGCGTTGATATTTGTATGCAGTTATTATCTCTGTAGGTCTGTCCTATCAAGTGTTTGGCTATGAAAGGGGAAAGACCGGTGAAGATAAGCTTCACAACGGAGAGCTGCAGGACAGGCAGGAGCTTTTGTAGCACGCAATGATGACTTCTCAACGCCTCAATCCTGAGAATAATTGTATTTATAATGACCCCTAGTTATGCACCTTTCCCCCCCCCCTAGGGGTGACGTAAAGAGTGTCTCCGGTACGCTAAGGGAGATGGAAGGGATTTAGACGAAGAGTATCCAAAATAACCTGCTCAGTTGTTAACCGTAACAGGCAATAGTGTCAACCATTCTTCTCTGTCACTTCTCCAGAGCTCAGTTAGCGTGTGGATGTGCTGCAGACTGCTGAGCTCATGGAGTTTAGCTTGTTTCCGAATCTTTGTGCCTAACGTTATGGAGTTTGTGGAGTTGCTGACTCGGGATCTGAGATAAGGCCCCACATATTTTACTTTAACAGATTCATGCCAAGTCGCAGATCCCTTCTCCCGGCCGGACATTGCAGCGTAATCCATCGGATTTTAGCGCCGCAAAACTCTGAATTCCATCCATCTTTCACTGTTGCATTGTGTCATACACCTAAAGCCCGGGTACCTGAACCAGTGAACGCGTATAAGAGTCGTCTCCGGGCTTGTCGGATGTTTCCAGTATTATAAGAAAGTGGAACTGTTTACGCCGTAAGAGTCACAGTAATTTGCTCTGCTCTTTGTGAACTGTTTCTGAAATAAGAACATTGATGGATAGATGTTTTGTATTGGTAATCACAGCGAGCAAACGGCTTGCCAAGACCGTTGTGGAACATTGACTAACGCTACCAATGCAATGCACATAAGCACAGAGTCTCCCCCAACGTTATCAGTTAATAATGTGAGGGAAGAGGGACATTGTAGGGGTCCTCCACCGGAGCTGCTAGAGCTTTCCAATATCCACATTCGTCCTCAAGGGAGCTGCCTCTCTGATTACAAAGTCAACTTTGAATCGGACCCTTTTCACATGCTAAAGATAGCTCGTCCGTTAGTATTGGATGAAGTCGGTCGAATGCTCGCTGCTGCAGGCATGCACACGGCTCCCCAAACGTTAAACACTTACAGTCGATGATTGCCCAAGGCTATGATCATATCGGGTTCTTATGGGAATCTCAGGATGAATTGTACGACTCTTCCATTTTGGTCATGAGTCTATTATTGGTTGGTAGAGTCAACAAGATGTGAATTCTCACGAAACGTGTAAGCTCGTTAGCAAGGGTGCACTCGTCGCCGACATAACCACCGAAAGCGACGTTGACTACATCCTTGCATCATGTTCCGAACGATAGGGAGATTACAAAACCGTTGAGTTGGTTCACCTCCGGCAACTTGTTCTCAATATCAAGCTGAAAGCTGAAGGAGTAACCATTACAACTTCATGATGATCTTGCTGAAGAAGTTTAGGAAATCCTTAGAATGAGTCGGTTTTTCTTGATAGGAAATATCTCCAACTCGTATTAAAGCGCTGCCGAAGTATTTCTGTAGCAATCTGGTCCAATAGCTGCTGCATGTCCGTCTTATTGGGCTGAGAAATAGTCGAGTCTGAGCAGACTCAGGGGTTCCTCTAACGCTCCGACATGCCGCAAAGGCCATGCAGGAAGATAGCTGGAACATATGGTTCTCTAATCTTGGAATGCTTCTTTCAGTTGTTGATGATGCAAATATTGGCAGGTAAATACCATCTAGTGTGCATAATTCTCAGAGGGCTTTGGTGCATCAAAAGCGCATCAAGGTTTCGTTCTGTCCGATTTATGAGTCAGCTTATTCTAAAGCATTACTCCTTAGTGCTTTTATTCTGTTTTCCTTTGAATATTCACACTAGGTAGGTTGAAAGCCGAGACTGCTGTCAAGGAGGCGCTGCCTGCATGGTGATACTGTCACTAAAGCCTCGTAACATAAAGTGTCTCGTTGAGAGCAGAAGAAATAGAGACACTAAGAGCCATAGGCTTTCAATTCTTTAAGCTTCTCGGCATTCGATATATGCCTCATTAAACTTTAATATCATGCTGCCAGAACTGTATCGCTCCTATCTCTGTGATTCATTGCAACTGTCTTTTAATCATCTCAGGGGCGCACAGAACTACCTGCAATTTCACAAACCACCCCCAACTTCACAGCCTTCATGTCAACTGTTTATCAACAAGATTTGCTCTGGAACCGAATGGGTCGTTGTTTTGTAATGGGATAGCCTGGGTTTGTTATTGCCCGGACCCCGTGATACGCAAGCCATCATATGAATGGTGGCAACCAAGCAAACTTACCTGTTCATTGTTTAATAATTAACGTATCTAGATATAGCTGTTCTTAGTACCTCTCTATTAGATTGATTGAGACTTAGTATATAGAAATAAAAAACTAATTCCTTAACAACAGAAAGGTAGTAAATTGTAAGGTTAACAGTTCTCTTCAATTACAAGGACTTGTCAAAAGAATAAACAGATATGAGTGAATACTCTTATAATGCTATCAGACTCGAAAAAATGTAAAAAAGAATATTTAGCAATTGCACGTTTCGATCGTGCGACCTCCGGGTTATGAGCCCGGCTGCGTCTATTAGTAATGGTTTGATATTGCAGATAATGGTAAACATACCGCGCTTCCACTGCGCCAAATTGCTTTCTTTGGTGGCAACCTTGCTGCAAATTTCAGATTATATAGTCACCTCTGGGGTCTGGTTTACTTAACAGCACAGACATCGATATCATACTTGGATTAGAATTGGCATCACATAATATCTTATATGTCAAGATATTGAGACTGGTAGATTTAATAGTTGTACACAATCTTGAAAACTCCAAGTCAATAATAAGATTCCTTTACGATTTAGCATCATGCTTGCCCTCCTTTATGGCAATACATAGAATTGACGTTTTGTGGTGTCTTTCGTATATCCAGCCCCCAGAACATGCACATGTGAAATATCATGATCGAGCACGAACAATTGGAATGAATAGTAAGAATGAAATTTATGCCGTAATCATCGCCCTAATCCACCTTAATTCATGCTTTCACTTCGCATGCCTTTCCATCCATTCGTCATCATGACTGGGCAAAGCCCTCCTCTCACCTCAGACGCTCATGTAATGCGCCCCTGCGTATACTCATTTCCACGGCTTTGTGCTCGTCAGTTGAACAGCAGCACCAATACTTTTTGACTGCGAATGTACGATGCTTGAACGCCTGCGGTTTCCAAGCGGCAAGCAGGCATATATGCTAGATACTTAGTGTCTCTGCCTCATCATCGGCGACACTCATTGCCTCATTGCTTACATGTTCTCGAACTAACATGATCTCCTCCCCGTTCGGCACCATTTATTTAAGGAACAGGTCCCCAACGCCGTTCCTCAATGTCCTCGTTCTATCTACATGGTCAAGGCCGAGGTAGTCGTCTTCCCCTTGTATGAAACTTGATAGCACATCATCTTAAATCATGTTGTTAGTTACATAACAAGTCAAAGGCAAAAAGATGGCACTTACCGTCATTGAGATATTGGGGTTTTGAGTAATTGGCTCGTCGCACAACAGCGATTTTGATCTTCTCAAAACTCTTGCCTTTGATTCCGGTTCGCTTCTCCAATCGCTTCTTGGTATCTGCAAAGCTCTCGCCCTACCACCATGTTAATACATTGATGCGTCTCAGTATCAAGGGCACTCACCTCGATGACCAGAAACTTGAAAGGCACGCCATGAACGCGGCTAACGTCGTTGTGGAAGTGGAAGACATGAATAAAATGGGTATCGTCGGCATTGAGCTCCTCTTGAGGAACTCGTTCTGCATAGATCTTCGCAAACTCGTTCAAGTTAATAACGGGGTGTTCGCGTAGAGGCTCGCGGTAGAAGCGGTTGGAGCTAGTTTCGTAAATGCGGATTCTTCCGCCATCCGTCTCGCTTGGTATTTGCGCCTTTCTTATCAAAACCTCGACTAAATCGTCAATAGTTCCTGTTTTGGGGACGAGCAGATCGTATGTATCCTGCGTACACGGTTAGCCGCATTGTCGAAAGACCATGAGACTCAAAAATACCTCTTTGGTGATGCCTTCACTCAGCAAATTGACCTTGATGCTCTTCTTGGTGTCGAGTTCTGTTAAACTCATCTCAAGAACTTCAAAATAAAAGGCATCATCTCTTTGAGTGGAGTTGAGAGCAGTTGAACCCATAGGGCTGAGAATCTGTCGTAGTGTTGGGTTTGCTCCGCGTCTAACCGGCGTTTTGGGGTTTTGCGTCGAGGCATTCACTGTCCAAAACCGAATATGTGTCGGGTTCACGTCCAAATACGCTCCAACACGCTCTGAAAGCATGTCATAAGTTATCTTAGTGTTAAGCACGAGATCGAACGGGGGATACTGCGCCTGGTCACATCGACTGGGATGCGGGTGGAACTTAACGGTTCGCCTATTCTCGAGGAAATCGTAGTATTCACGCGCATCCTCGAAATGATCAGATGTGTTACTTCTGAAAACATGTTAGTAAATGAATGGCCCACATTGTATACTGCAACAACACACGTTTCTTGCGAAATCTTTTCACCGGCGCGCTTTTCGACGCCAGCCTTGGTTCGCTGGAAGCAGATAATGTCTCCGTCTTGCAATTCGGCAACCTTCAGCGACTGCTTGGGCTTGAGAGGTTCAATCATAGTAGGCTTGATCTCCTATTTTGAGTTAGTTACCGCCCGTCATCCAAGGTCATTAGTTTTCTTACTTCCCAAAGCAGAAGCTTCTCCTCGGCAGGTAGCTTCTCTCCCCATCCCATTTTCTTCAGGATCATTGGTAGCAGTTCTTCGACTTTCTTGTCCTTGGAAATGTAGACATGGCCGACACCCCGCAGCGTCTGGGCATCGATATCGAAGTGCTTAAGGAGAAGTAAGATGGTGTCATTCTTGACGATGACACCATTGGGTTGACTCTGGTAAGATGGCCAGATTGGCTCTCCGTCAGCATTGACCTCCTCGGCAACCTCAGCCCACACACGTAAACTAGCATCTCTGTGGGCAGCGGAACGGGAGAAAGTCTCGTCGACTGTAGGTCGCAAATCCATGATGGGTTGGTCAGGGCGAACTGTCTTATTCTGTCGATTGACCATGAGCCAAAGTCGTACCCTTCGTGGATCTTCGCCCATATCTGATGCAACTTGCGCAACAAACTCCTCCATGGTCATCGCGCGACGCACACGATAGAACTTGGGCGCAGCGGGATCCTCAGGCTTTGCATCAAACTGACACAAATCTGTGCCGCCAAATTGCTGAAACGAGTAATCAGTGATAACCTTGGCCCACATGTATAGATGCGCCTCTCGCTGTTCTTTCTTACGGGCCTCCCGCTGAACAGTCTCTTCCTCAAATTTTTGCCCTGCGGTGGTTAGCAAGGTGACAAAGGAAGAATGCCAAAATACTTACTAAGATGAAGCGGAATATGATCCTTGGTAACCGGACACAGGATATCATCTATACGAGATTGGCGGATATACACCAACATGTATGCGCTGTTTTGGCGCATAATGGGAGCCTTCTTTTGCACAGGCGCACGCGGGTAACCGTTGGATGTTTGATACTCTCCACCAAAATTCTCTTCCAACACTTCGCGCATAGTCGCTTTGGTGACCTTATCATCGTCGTACTTATAGAACCATCCGTCCTTTTCAGGCTTCAAAAAGGCATAGTAATGACCTGCGTTCAGATCACCGCTGTGGACTAGAACGCTGTGAAGCTGATACGTCCATGGAACAGATTTGTCGGCATCCTCGGATAGGTACGGCGCAGCGTCGAAAAACTCGGGGAACTCGTATCGATCATTGATCTTCATCATGGTATCGCGCTGGATATCGTACTCGAAGCGTTTCAGTTGTAGATGGAGTACGTCAGGAAAGCTGTTGAAAATGACACCTTTGTTCGCATCCTGGAGCTTGTACTGGTCACCAGCAAAGTATTGATTTTCTCCATCCATCTTTTCGACCTGAACGTAGTCCTCAAAACTCTCGAGCAGATGCTTATTACCACTGACATTCAGCTGAATGTCCCAAAAGTCCTCGATTCGGCTGGATTCATAGTCGACGTTGATACATGAGATGTACGTCTTGATCTTGCCACTGAACATTTCTGGCAGGACATTCTCCGATGCAGTTCCCTTCATCTTGTCTTCCATCCTCTCCATGAGCTTGCGTGAAAACTCCTGCACATCCTGTTGTTCGAAGATATGTCGTGTGTCCCAGCCGAAAGATTTCGTGAGCTCCGTGGTTCCAACTGCCTGGTCTGACGTTTGTAACTGGTAGAAAAGTCTTTGCAGTGTATAAGCACTGTTTGTCATACTGGGGTCGGCCTCCGTAGGAATTTCGTAGATGGCCTATAGAAGTCAGCTACTAGTATACAAGAGAACAGCTGAGAGACACTACCTTTCTGAACTTGTTTGTGAAATAGAGTGATTGCATCAAGGAATTCAGATAGCAGGTGGCACCCTGATTCTTGAGCCCAACGTACCCAGTCTCCTTCTTGGAATCGTAATTGGCGAAGTTGTGCCACAAAACACCCGTCTCATCCTCGACGAGGCGAAGATAGGCGGTGATGTTGGCAGTATCATTTTCGCAGAGGGGTCGGCTGCTGCCCTCCCATGGTACATTAAACATTCGGCGGTGCTCAACAAATCTAGTAAAACCCCAATCACCTTCTTCCTTAGTGAATCGATGGTGGGCAGTGTGATGGACATATAGGCTGGGGTCGTTCGGGTTCCATAGGACGAGCGCAAATTGAACACAGCAGCTCCAGTTATCGGGAACACTATCAGCGTCGAAGCCATGTTCGAGATAAATAGAGCATTGGTCGATGTTATTGCCGTGTGGGAAAAGCAGAATTCGCCTATGGGAGTGGAACGTCAGCATGAAGAGTAACGGCAGTTCCGGGATTAATCTAGGCGCACCATGGGAAGCCACCAGCTTGGAAAATAGGACCATGTTCCTTCTTATTCAAACTTCGCCAGTTTTCGACAGTCCATGTGTATTCGTAGTCTCCAAGTATTTTCGGTTCATCGATGAGGGGTGGAAGACAGAGCTCTCTCATGGCTTCATCTAGAGGCATGACAGTTAGCCTAAATAGTTCCAGGAAGGGCGATCACGACAGAAAACATATGATGCCTAGGGTCTGCACCAAATATAAGGAGTCAATTAGGTAGTGAAAGGAGTACGCACCGTCGTTTGCCATGGGCAGATCTTGCAGCTGGTCGACTTCGCTTTGTTCGAGGTTATCGGGGTTAATGATGGCGACCTTCTCTGGCTCGTTGGCCACGCCGATATAATCGTCCGTGTCCATGACCATGTCGTTGGGTGAGTTGATATCGTGAGTCTGCAGCAAATTGCGACGGTCAGCGTTGAGCCCTGAGCGAAAGCACAGGCGGCGATGAAACGAGGTCATGATGTCGGCATCGGGAGTGACTGGGGTTAGTGTGGGTGGTGAGGGGCAGCTGGTAGGCTATTGGAGGTGATGATGTCTTCAGGGCACTAGGTAGAGAAGTCTGCGCAATGCTTCATGTCAAGAAGATGTGGTGAGGTCAAATCGAAGTTGCATAATATGTGACGATCGCAGAGCCAGGAGGATGACGCAGCTGTGTTGATGGGACCGCACGAGTTGCTCTCCAGCGACCATGGCAGTCGCGGCAAGCTGCATGGAACAAGATTGCACGGGAAGGGGCAGCAGCAGACTGGAACGTACCATTTTGAAGAAGCTGCGACCGAGGCGGAAGAATCGGTGACGTTAAGGCAGGCACCTGAGAGAGTAAACCTCACGATATAGAGACGGGCGTGGCAGTAGCAGAGCAACTTAATCAATGCAGGCGCTTCAGCCAAGGCTCGACAATGTCGAGTGGCGCAAAGGGCAGGGAATAAGAGACCAAGTGCTGCCGCGAGCAAAAATGGTATTCTCCAAAAAAAAGAGAGCTCGGAACTGGAGCGCAACGCAAGGCAGTGAATGCGATGCAAGGCAGGCAAGGCAAGGCAATGCAATGCTAGGTATGCTATGCTATGACGATCGGGGACGACGAGTTCTGCACTGTTAAAGAAAAAAGAGTAGAGCGGTCGGTTATGTCAGTAAAAGACAATGCCCACAACTCAGGTCCTAAGCCCCTAGACCTCTCAAATTCCAGGTCAAGTCAGGTCGCGTCTAAACAAAGAGAAGAGGCTGTAGTTTGAAGGATAAAACTGAACTGGGAGAAAGGAGTGTGAGGTGAGTGAGTGAGTTTGGATCCAATGCCTTGCATCGATAGGCAGAGAGAGCCAGTAGTAATCAATCATTCAGCGGGAACAAGAGTTGTGCGAGACTTCAGGCTTGACGAGAGTGGTGAGGCGATAGCTCCCAAATGTTGTCAAGCGACTTGTTATTTGCAGACAGGTGCACTATAAATGCTGTACTACTTTAACAGACAACAGTCACGCCAAGCGTCATCAGGTCACCCCGCCAATGACGTTGTCAGTCTCTCATAGCCAAAGGCTAAGCTTGAGTCTTTGTCAGATAAATCATGCCTACTAACCTAGGTCTTGATGGCTTGTACCTTCATTCAGGATACATGCAAAGAGTGAGCTGGCAAATAGAAGCGGTCTGACGCAAGCTGGGGAACATATTCGTCTGACTTTTTCAGGTCGTTTTTCAGCTTTGCAATACGCAGCTGAGATGCCTTGTCTGGCATGCTCATAGATCCATGTTACAAAGTTCTGCTTTAGCTTGGGTGGTACTTTGAAGCAACAGTTTAAATTGACAAAGTGTACGTCAGCATGCTTCCCCTAAAAAGGACAAACCTTGTACTTGATGAAACAAGACTTGTTATTTCCCTTTACGCCATGTTGGAACAGATATTCAGACTACATGAAATACCCACAGGCCGTTACAGCTCATCACCACAATGCAACAATCAGACGCCACAGCCACCCAGGTAGATCCAGGAAGCTACCCTAGATTCATACAACAAGACAGATGACGGGTTGTCATGGACATGATTCCTGTAGATCAATAATCACAAATCTCAAACAGCCCCATCTACAGCTTCACAGCTTGTTCTGGGCTTATCAGCCTCAGAACTCAGCCGTAGCCGGGATAAACCCAAATGGAAACCTCTGCTCCTTCCTGCAACCCACCATTTTGGGCGGGCCGGTATCGCCAACAAGATGTGGGGTAAAACTCCAATCCCGTTCCTGGGCAGTAGGTATCGAGTCACTCGCCCAAAGCTTCCTTCCCACCGAGACGGCGTATGCATGTTGTCCTCCTCTCCCTCCTACCATCTATAACCTCCTCTTTCAAACGCAGAGCATCGTCTGAAAGCGCACTCTATACCTTACTTATGCCAACGGATTGGGCTTAACGGATCAACCAATACTGACTTCGATTCATTCTCGCATGTGCCTGTGACGACATGCCACCCATCGCCCTGCGACAGAGCAGGCGATGTAAACTGATAGATCCGCGCCCTTACCTGGCGAATATTCCCCGTACCTCCTATACGAACTTTCAGTTTCGCGCTGGTACAAACGCATCATGGCGTCCTGTTTCAATTCTTGACGAGTATGCAATTCTCTTCTATGACTTCTGGTTCCAAAAGCTAACTCATGATGCCTTCAGCTGGGTCGCGAAAGAAGCCCGTCCTATCAGTCTCCGCCAGCTTATGGTTTTTGGCCGCTCTCTTACAGAATCTCGTCTGATAAGCTCGGCTAACTATGTTCGCACCGAATTGCCTACGCGGTAAGTCTCGAGAAGCTTCGCAGAGAATAAAGAGATCTGACATGTGATTAGAATTGCGCACCGGATCCGAGATATGCAACGTTTACCCTATGTCGTTACTATGAACCCACATATTAAAGAGGTTTACGACCTATACTACCATGCCTTCGATACATTTCGCAAAGTGAAAGAGGTTAAAACATTGGAGGACAACGACAAGCTGTGCGAACTCATTAGCCATAATCTAAAGGGCCACTTGACTGTGATACCGAAGCTTGCTATGGGAATCCTAGAATGCGGTGGTCTCATGAGCCCCCAGGATCTGGATAACTTCATGAACACCATTCTTAGATCGGTAGGGTGCCCATTCTTACACGACTTTGGTGATTTACTGACATGGAACAGCGCATTTCTAGACGTGTCATCGCCGAGCAGCATCTTTCACTAACAGAAACCTACAACTCCCCCAACTTCTCTCCCGGAGCCAAACTTTCCGAATCCGACTTCATCGGCGAAGTGTTTATTAAATGTTATGCTAAAGATGTTGTCGAGCGCTGTTCCAAAGCCATCACTGTTCTTGCCCGCACAACGAATGGCCCTGACGTTCAGATTCCCGAAATCACGGTTGATGGCCATCTCGATGCCTCTTTTCCTTACATTCTAAGTCATCTCGAGTACATCATCGGCGAGCTCCTCCGCAACTCTGTCCAGGCCGTCATTGATCGACATCAGAGGATCCATTCGGACCCTGACAGTGTGAAGCCCCCTCCTGTGGAGATAACCATCTGCGAGAACCAGCAACATGTTATCATCCGCATCTGCGACCGTGGTGGCGGTATCCCTCGTGCTGAACTGCCACATCTCTGGTCTTTCAGTAAGGGTCCGCAAAGTCAAAGACGTCTCGAGAATCTTGCGCAGGTACCTAAGATGGCAGCAACGATGCAGGAGCTTCACGTAGAGGAGGAATTGGGGCGTGCAGATTTGAAAGCACCCCCATATCAAAGTTCGTTATCGTCTCTCACCAGTCGGCCGCCTAACCTGCGTCTCGGCATGGGGTTACCTCTGAGCCGTGTCTATGCAGAGTACTGGGCTGGAAATCTTGACTTGCATAGCCTCGAGGGCTACGGAACGGATGTCTTCCTGCAGATTTCGCGACTTGGTAATAAAAACGAGCAACTGACGACGCGGGCCAGCATGGACGCCTTATAGCACTGGGGGTCTGGGGTAATGTCCTAGACGGAAAGACTGAGGTTGACTTGAAACCTGTAGTGATTTCAATATTGTACTCAGAGGACAATGTATTTCTTTTTGGGTATGAATTCGGTCAGCTTGGCTTAGAGCACGGAGTTTGGTGGCTGTTTCCCCCGGTTCACATTTGGTTAATGGGACTGTTGCAATACTTCATGGAATATTGGATGGCAGCCAAAGGGTTTATGCAATTGATTGAAACCTTCGAATCTCAAACTGGTATCATAAAATGTTGTGATTGAAATTACATCGAAACTAAAATGTGCCTAGCTGAGAGAAAGGGCTCTAGTAAAAGGTTGTAATAAAAAAGGGCAAGACTATCAAGGCTTTCTCCATACGTCTTGTTCGCTTCAAAGGCGTCTCGTACTTGTGGGTATGAGTTGCCGGCATAGCAACCAAGAACAAACAAAATCATGGGGAGGGAATCATAACTCCTACACAACATGCCGCGGCCATGATAACAAGTCACAGCAAGGGCAGCTCCTCCTTGACCTCTGCAGGGAAGAGCGAGCAAATGTATCCATGAACTCGTGGTCCCTCTCCTGTCTTCTTGTGGTATTCTTCGGACCTTTCATTTTTCAACTCCAAACCCCAAACGGAGCTCCAGGTAAAAGAAACCTGAAGAAATGACTGTCCAACTGCAGCCAAGCAAGTGTGCATAAAGGGGTGCTCGAAATCGTTTAGCGGCGACCGTGGCTGCGGACAGCGCTGCCCTGCATCTGCTCCAGCTCTTGCTCGAGCTGCTTAATCTGAGCATGGGTTTGCTCGAGATCCTTGTTGAGACGGTCGCGCTCGGAGATGAGCTTCTGCTCCCATTGGCGGAAACGCTGTTCCTCGATCTTGACCTGCTCGGTGAAACGCTTTCGGAGAGCCTCCTCCTCTTCCTTGAACTTGGGGTTGTCGAGCTTTCGGGGACGAGCCTCGCCGAACTTGCGGGTCTCCATCTGCTGAGCGCGGTAAGCCTCGTAGTGTAACTCCTCGGTGGTGTGAATAAGGTCGAGCATGTGTGTTCGGATCAGGATAGAGCGGAGCTTCTTGAAATCGCAATGGTCCTCATTCTCAACCTCGGCAACACCCCAAGAGTACTGTCGGCCCTTGACAATACGGCCATCACCGGTCTTGACGTCCTTCTCGGAGCCGATAACAGCGAAAGGCATGGCGTTCATAAGGCTGCGGGCATGCTGAGCAGCAGCCTCATCGTCCTCCTCGATCGGGGGCTGGTAGATCTTGATGTTCTGGGCTTCAATGACAGAGACAATCTAGCTAGAGTTAGAACTGGGGGCTGTGAACTCAATGCATGATTACTTACGCGCTGCTTGAACTTGGCCAGGTCGGCGGGGCTGAGGGTGTCAGCCTTGGCGATAACGGGAATAAGGTTGACACGCGAGCAGAGGCGCTTCATGACCTCAATATCGAGAGGCTTGAGGGTGTGGCCGGTAGGGCGGATGAAGTAAAGGCAGGCATGGACACGAAGGTCGATCTTGTCCTGGCGACGGGGCTGTTGCTCCTGAAGCATGTAAGACTCGTGCTGATCGTCGAGGAACTCGATAATGGGCATCCAAGAATCGCGGTTGTTAACGTAGTCGCCGAATCCGGGAGTATCGATAACGGTCAGTCGGACTGAAAGGGGGTGTTAGCGAGGTTTGAGTAACAGCGTGCTTCATTCAGAGCTATACCCTTGAAGAACTTCTCCTCAAGCTCGGCCTTGGTAATCTCGATCTCGACAGTCTTATCAACCTGCTTCTGGTGGCGGCGCTTGT